TTTTTTTTTTAAATTTATTTTTCTAAAAGTTATGCAATTGTTAATTAACGAATTTTTTTCCTATCTCCGTTTTCATAAATGACGACATAAAAATTTAAATAATAAACCTATAAATTTTTGGCTCTGTGGAGCTCTTCTTATATATATACTTAACAAGATCCCGCGATAAAAGTTTATTAAAGTTAATTATTTTGTTTATAACAATTTTTTAAAGTTAACAAAAAATGAAAAGTCTAAGAAATGTTATTAAAAAAAATTTTTTAAACAAATGTTATATTATTGCTGCTTTCTTATCTAACAATGGCATTAAGTAACATCGGAAAAAATTTTTTTACATCATTTTTTAAGAAATTGTTTATAAACAAATAGACAAGTTTAATATTTAAAGAAATTTTTTTTACCATTATGTTGTCTTGGCAAAATAATGATTTTTAAAAAAAAAATTTTTCTTAAATAATTTTTTTTATTGTTAATAATCGTTTTTTTTATATTTCGATTGTTTAAATAATTAGTTAAGGAATGATTTTCTCTTTAAAAATCATAATTGGCATTTCTTCATAGGTAAATAGAAAAAAAAAAAAATTTATCAATAATTTCATTGTTTGTTAACTTAACAATTTGTTATAAACAAATTCTAACTACCGTTATATTTTTTTCTAGAGCTAAAAAAAATAACAAAAACAGCCATATATATCTAAAAATACTAAAAAAAAAATGTTTCTATTTTTTATTACGCTTTTGAATATTACACGATACCAAAGTTGCACCGGACACTTGATTTGTCAAGTAAAAAATTAATATAACTTATAAACTATTCGAGATACGATAATTTACATTCAGGTCGTTTTTATAAAGCATTAATTAATCTTCAAAATAAGCTAAAAACCAAGTTTGTAACTATATAAAAATATGGTTAACATGTAAAAATTTAGAAGATACGGCAGATCAAACTACAAAAAATATGAAAAAAAATACTTAATGACATCGAACAAACTATTTATTTAAATAAATGATAAAATCAGTTTCACTTAGAAGCTATAATAACTTATAATAATGTAAAGAAAATTAAAAAAATACAAAATGAAGGTAAGTGTTACATAAATATTAAATAAATATTAATTAAATCACGTATATTGTTTAAACAATTAGAGATGGAGGTACGATCAATTGATAATTTGGGAGATAATGTATCGCTAAACAAAATTGTTTTAAGGTTTATAGCTGTATTTTAATTATTTCTTAAGTTGTAAGTCATAAGAGATACGAAAAAGTTAAAGAAATCTCAAAATTTTATAAACAAATGCATGTATTAGCTGATAAACAATAGTTACAAACTTAGTTTTTAGCTTATTTTGAAGATTAATTAATGCTTTATAAAAACGACCTGAATGTCCATTATCATATCTCGAATAGTTTATAAGTTATATTAATTTTTTACTTGACAAATCAAGTGTCCATTGCAACTTTGGTATCGTGTAATATTTAAAAGCGTTATAAAAAATAGATAATTTTTTTTTTTAGTATTTTTAGATATATATGGCTGTTTTTGTTATTTTTTTTAGCTCTAGAAAAAAATATAACGGTAGTTAGAATTTGTTTATAACAAATTGTTAAGTTAACAAACAATGAAATTATTGATAAAATTTTTTTTTTTTTCTATTTACCTATGAAGAAATGCCAATTATGATTTTTAAAGAGAAAATCATTCCTTAACTAATTATTTAAACAATCGAAATATAAAAAAAACGATTATTAACAATAAAAAAAATTATTTAAGAAAAATTTTTTTTTAAAAATCATTATTTTGCCAAGACAACATAATGGTAAAAAAAAATTTCTTTAAATATTAAACTTGTCTATTTGTTTATAAACAATTTCTTAAAAAATGATGTAAAAAAATTTTTTCCGATGTTACTTAATGCCATTGTTGGATAAGAAAGCAGCAATAATATAACATTTGTTTAAAAAATTTTTTTTAATAACATTTCTTAGACTTTTCATTTTTTGTTAACTTTAAAAAATTGTTATAAACAAAATAATTAACTTTAATAAACTTTTATCGCGGGATCTTGTTAAGTATATATATAAGAAGAGCTCCACAGAGCCTAAAATTTATAGGTTTATTATTTAAATTTTTATGTCGTCATTTATGAAAACGGAGATAGGAAAAAAATTCGTTAATTAACAATTGCATAACTTTTAGAAAAATAAATTTAAAAAAAAAATTCCAGCTGGAATATATTCTTTCAAGTATCTGGATGACACCATAATTTATTTCAATTTTTAAATTCATATTTGTTACTATAAAAAAATAATTTTATGTAAGAAACTGTCTTTAACGGCAGTGCGCCCATGCCGTAATGGCTGCGCGGAGCCCTATTTTCAGCGTTAAATTAAAATTATAAATAATAGAGGTAGAGTTCCGGGAGCTGGGACTTTTTTTTCGGAAATTTCCTCCTCTTTAAGGACCTTTTTTCCAAATATCGTAAATATTAATAGTTTATGAGTTATTAACAAAAACGTAAATACCTCTTTTTTTTCATCTTATTTTGTTAATAACAATTGCAATTTTTTACGTGCAGTAAAATCCTCAAAACTCATTTTTCTAGAGGTCGTTCCGAATCCAATGAGCTATTGCTCATATTTTTAGGAGCTTTATCTCTATTTTTCACGTTTTTGAACTTGTTGACTGGACTATGATGCGAGAATCAAAATACAGTAACATTACGTGTTTTATTTATTTCATAGGTTTCCAAAATGTGCCAAGATGAAGGAACTTTGGATAAGTGCAACTAAACGTAAAGACTCCAACTGTAAACAGTTACATATGTTCTCGTCACTTTACCACTGACAGTCACTCCCGCAAACAAAACGAACCTGTACCGAGCCGATGAGTAAGGCGCCTTAAGTTTTAAAAGTTGTCATAAACAGCATATTATTGTCTATCTAGATATTTTTTTTACGTGTTTTTTGTGTTGCTTATATTTTATTTAGTATGTAGTTACTAGTCTGAAAATGAAACACAGATAAAAAAATTAAAAAAGTATACAACTTTGGCACATAATGCCGGGTGTCCTTTATTTATCGATAGAAAATATCGATATTTTCTAAAATCGATCTTACCCTCATCACTTCGCTGCACTGAGTATATCATCTGACCTTGACGTGTCCAATCACAACGCGGCTGATCTCCCTGCACGCCGCCGACTTTGGCGATTTTGATTTCAAACAAAATTTGCGTGATGCGGACTCTAGTGGGGGTACTCCGTGGCAAGATATTATCTTGATAATTTCTTGAAAATATTTTGTTTTCAATGTGACCCTTTATTTTTGCAGGCGATTGTAATTTAAATTTAATAAACTGTGGTTTAAATGAAATAAAAAGGTTCAGAGCCAAATTTTTTAAATAATGTTTCATCTAAATATGTCGCCAAAGAACCTGAAAAAAAATCTAAAATGACAAATAATACGTAAAAATACTGATATTATGTGCTAATGGTGTCGATTCTGACATGATCCTCTAAACTTTAAATTAAATTTAACATCAGTCTCTCCTTTTTCATTATGTATAAAGAACGACAAGGACACACTTGTTAAAATTAATTTTAAGTTTAGACAAACATACCAGAATCGACAACATTTAGGTTTTTACACATATAATGCACCACATGAGGAGCTCGATGGCGCAGGTGGTAAGCGCGTTCGGCTGCGATAGTTAAGTTAAGCAACTTTCGCAGTGGTCAGTCATTGGATGGGTGACCAAAATTCTTCTATCTCGAGTTCCTCCGTGCTTCGGAAGGCATGTTAAGCCGTTGGTCCCGGTTGCATCTGCAGTCGTTAGCACCCACCAATCCGCACTGGCCCGCGTGGTGGGTCATGGTCCAATCTCCCTATTCCATCCATAGGGAAGGCCTGTGCCCCAGCAGTGGGGACATTAATAGGCTGATGATGATGAATGCACCATATACTGAATCAGTGCAATAATTTCCATCTTCACTCGTAAATAACTGAGTACCTAGTAATCTATAAATATTATACATCAGATTGTTTAAATTCCAAGTAAGGTATACCTACATGCAATAAATCACTACTAAGGTTTGGAATAACTTCAAAATAGCGACATCTCATAGTAATACCTCAATGCCAACTTTGAACATCACTTGAAATTTTAATATTGTCTAGTAATTAATAGCGAAAAGTTGCCTGTCATACTTTTCTTATTCGACGACCTCCGTGATCGAGTGGTTTGTGCGGCGGGTTTCATGGTGTCGCCGGTTGGAGAGGTCCCGGGTTCAAATCTCGGTAGCGACTGATCTTTGTGTGATGAATTCGAGCATTCTTACTCCAGTCGTGGATGTTTAATATGTATTTCTATATAAATATACTTATATATGTACAGTATATGTGTTTTATCCGTTATGCTAACACCCCATAACACTAGCCTACAGTGCTTATTTCGGGGTTAGGCTCATTGGTGTGAGTGTTGGAAAAAATATTATTATTATCTGCTTTACCTTGTTACTGGCCAACTGTTGTATTGTAAGTTATTGCACCTGTCATATAAATTCTGATTAAATTCTATAATAAAGAATACTTGCGGCCGCCAGCGACTTCGTCCGCGTTAACTTTAGTTTTTCGAAATAGAACAGGTAGTACCTGTCAATTTTCGGAAAGAAAAGTATCCTAAGTCATAAACTATATGCGTACCAAATTTCATCCAAATCCGTTCAATAGTTTTTGCGTGATTATTCAGTAACGAACATACACATTTTCACATTAATAATATTATTGCACACTCCATTGGGTAAGAATTTAGGACGCTCTTTCTCTCTGTATCACCATTCGAGTTTACCATATTCAGCAAATACAGATTATATGATTTGATTCGATCAGCAGGTCCACCTCGGCCTTCAGCGGGCGGTAGTCCTCGTGCAGCCCGACGCCGTCCACAGTCACGAGGACAGGGACACTTGTCGCTAGAGTCATGTACTGCCACTCACTCGGGCGTGATGGGGCTGCCCTCCTCCTCGTGCAGGTCGGGCAGGCGGTCGAGCCCGAGGCACTGGCGGCGCAGCAGGTCCACCTCGGCCTTCAGCGGGCGGTAGTCCTCGTGCAGCCGCGACGCCGTCGACAGCTTGCGCGTCATGCTCTCCTCCGTTTGTTTTATCACCGTCTCCATCTGTAACGTTATAATTGTCAGGTACTTATATAATTTTGAAGTTATACTTCTTTAGGCGCGTTATGAAAAAATGATGAGAGTGAAATTTTAAGATGCGCGCGCATCACTGTAACACAAAATTTTAACAGCATGAAGTTGGTCGCTAAAGCGACTGTTACTTTTGTGTTTACCGCACATTAAGAAAATCTACCAACAAAATAGAAATAGGAGGCTACAGCGCCATCTCTTGACCATTGGTGTAGTAGAACCAAAAACCACATCTTTATTTTTTATGTAAGTGGAATTCTTTGCCCGCGCATGTGTTCCCTCCTTCCTACAATCTGGGGTCCTTTAAGAGAGGCGTACAGAAGCATTTTTGCAAGTCGGCAATGTGAGGATGGTTGATCTGGCAGTTTATAACTGCTGTACCAGCTATCTTCGCGTTTGGACTTTATCACTACTTAACATCAGGTGGGGTAGAGTCATTTGCCTACCTGGCTATATAAAAAAAAGGACGGCACGCATATTCAACAAATCAGTCTATACTCGACCCTGTAGTTCGATTGTCGTTCCTTATAATAATAATATGCAGAGCCACTGAGTGGACAAATATATTCACCAAAATCGCATACAATAATAATATTATATTGAACAATATTTCATATGTTTCAGCTAGATGCTGTCCTCATAATGGAAATCAGTAACAACATTTTACCTCATGAAAAGATTTTTTTTAATTATCTTTATATCAATTTACTATTGTCAAGAACGCTCTCGAAACGGAACCGCGAAAGTGTTAGAAATCGAATTTGCCAGAGCACCGTGGGTCGCGATAGAGGTCCAGTAATGAGGCTCATTCTAAAATGAGCCTTATGCAGTGCGGCGTAAGGGAGAAAGTGCAACGACATCTGCAGTTGTTTACAAGTTATGCGCGTTACCTGCGTAGGTATAAGTAGGTACTTCGTACTCGCGGGTGCTAGCTAATTCTCAATTTAACAGATACTTTCTAGAATGCGTCGATCAGCGTATATAAGCACGATTGGCGCCGCGCAGAGATAGTTGAGTTTCAACAGCGATTTCGGAGCTAATCCAAAGGCGGTCAAAGTGCAACAAAAGTGTTCAAGTGCGATAGTTTAGAGACTTGTATAGTGAAATACAGTGTTTAGTGAGTGTTTTGTAATTAACATTGTGTGTTAATTGTGTGAACTGAGTGGTGAATAAAGAACTGTCAAGCGTAAACTGGCATATAATTTCGAACCTCATCCCGACACGTAACACTATGATCATTTATGAGTAATTAGCTAGAGGAATATTTCATATATTAAAGTCTAACAGTAACCAGAAATTGAAGCATTTCTGCACAACAAGTATATGTAAATTAAAATTATATTTAGTATATGTAATATTATGTTTGAAATATGTAATTATCAAAATCGAAATATAAATACTAAATACAGAATACTCAAAGACATATACAATATGAAATAAAAGATAACAAGATAAGACTACATTTACATGAATACTATGTACAATGTTCAACACTATTCGGTTTGTTTATGAAAACCTTCTTGGAAGTGACCAATAATTAGGCATATGCATACTTGATGCTACATCATTGCTATTACCTACACCCGGCGTCAAAAAAATCGCACCTCCGCGAAAATAACTTTCAAGCGTTATTATAACCCTTGACACGCGCATGTACCCCCACCAATATTGGTGTCATTTGAAAGCACATTAAATAAACTTATATCATTAAAAAAGGCTTGATTCCACAAATGTGACTTTAAATAAAATGCCAATTTTGCACTTCAAAAGGGCCACTAATTGCACTACTTTTAGTGGGTATGAAAGAGGTTCGGCGGTTATTCGCTATCCAACCGTTGAAGAGGACACACAAGAAGATCTTTCACAAAAAAAAAAACATCTTGGAGATGGATACCACTGCTGATGAAGCCGCTCAAGTGATTGCACTACTACAATCAGGGATGCGGTAGTGTGATGTCGCTCGGCAACTGAATTTGTGCCGTTTTTTTGGTTCTTAGAGTATATTAGCGGTTCCTGGAGACCGGTGGTCGTATCCGGAGCGATTTTTATGACACGGAGTGTATATAAAATAGCTTTTAGAAAAAGTACATTACAGTGTTGTTTACAGTATTCTGTTCCTACAATACTGGTAGATCTTCCCATACAAATGAATTACTTTTATTTACACATAGTATCATACTTCGGCCACACAATGCGCAGGGATGACGGCAATTTGGAAAAATTGATTGTTGTTGGGAACACCGAAGGCAAACGATCGCGCGGTCGTTCACCAACTAGATGGACAGATCAAATAAAAGAAACGTCGTTGTCCAAATTTTATACGGTTGTGAGAGACGCGCTGGACAGAAACCGGTGGAGCCAGATCATCCATTCCAGATGCAACCAGCATGCTGACCATGATCCTCAGTCATGAGGGACCGACCAGAGAGAGAGACACATAGTTTCCAAAAATAACCCTTCATATTTTTTTGTTTTTCTCTGTAGGAGGCTGTGATAATTGAATATGACAACAAAAATATAATCAATTATAAAATTAATAACTTCATATAATTGATAACAGCTAAGCAATGCCAAGAACATTGCTACAATAAATGATCACCTTGTGTTACACTTTTAACAATATGGATCAGATCACATACCACAGACAGTTCTCTATTGCACTTAAGAATAACTGGGCCAAACATAATAAACAAAGAGTTTAACAGCATCCTCAATAACACATCAATGAAAGCATGGATCTTCACAAACAAACAACTTCTGCAACACCTGTTGGATATTTATAGCACATTTCACTTAGAATCATCTTCCTTTTTCTTTATAAATTTATAGGTAATACAATAGTTTGTTAACACAGATAAACCTGTTGTCCAATATTAAGGACGGCACAATAAAAAAAATATCTAAATAACCAAATAAGTAAACTCATGAAAGTGTAATAAATATTTTAAAGGTTTCTTTTAGGCGTTGTATTAAAAATATGAAATTCAAATTATTTTGTTTTTTTTTCTAAGTACTTCAATGTAAAATCTATAGTAATTGTCAATTTTAGACAACCATGAAAAGGCATCAATAAAAAATATTGTTAAAATTTATATTGCATTTATAACCATTTTTTTATAAGGTAAATAACCACTTTTTTAAAGATATATCTGGGATGTACAAATTTTGTGATAAATAGTTAGTTAGTTCTTCAGGGCGGTTTACGCACTTAGTCCCAATTATTGGACCATTTTGTGTGTCTCAAAAACATTCCCGTTTACTCCAGCCAGCCTATATCGGTCCAGAAGGAAAGCAGCCTTGGTCATTTTTTTTAATATATAAATTAAAATCTAAAGATTAGAAAGTTAAATATAAAGATTTTCAGAAAAAAAAAGTTGCAGGCTTATCTGGGTTAATAATAAAACTAAAATTAGAAGTAGCAACTTTCACTTACATAACATTATGTTGCCTTACAATATATTTTCTCAATTTTTAATAATAAAATTAAAAATTAATGATCATTATTTAGTTGCACACAGTATGTAAAAAGAAAATTCTAGATTCATTCACTAACCGCATTGATGTCTGCATGTATTTGCCGGAGCTCTTCGACATGGCTCATTTTCTCCTGTTGCAGAAGTTCCATTTCTCTTTTATATTGTGCCAAGCAACGGCCTTCCTGGTCTCCACTGCGCACTTCATTTACTATGCTACGTTTTAACCTTTCTAATGTTATTGTTTTGTTTCTGTAAATAGAGATATTGAAGGTTATTGTATTAGATCTTCAGAAACTGAACAGAGAACATCTCCAGAAAATTATTGGCTTCAACTAAAAACTACGGCTTTTACAAGTTTGGAGTATTTGTGTACCTTTCAATATCTTTTACATTTTCAAATAGAAAATCTAAAATCCTTAATTAGTGCTATACAGTGAGGAGAAACTACTACTACTAGAAGTATTTAAACTAAACTTTATTGAAATAAATGCAAAAATTTGATATTTGATTTTTATTTTCTTTTGATGAACAAACATAAATGTGAACATAAAAAGTATTAAAAACTGGTACTATTCATCAAATGAACTAAGGAGTATCATTACTATAAGAACTCATATTTAATAGAAATTACTTTAACAGAAATAAAATCGGTCAAGTGTTTATTGATCGAGTCTACAGGTGCGATGTTGAAGCTTTTTAAGTTTTTATAAATAGCAAAAAATAATATACCTGATTTCCTTCATGGCTTCTAACTTGTGATATATTTCACGTTCGTTTTCTGCAGTCATTTCTTGTACTTTTAATAAATTAAATGTGTTTTATCACAAATTAAGTGAACAAAAACAGCTAAAAATAATGCACAACTCCATTCGTTTCTCGTTTGTCATAGAGTTTTTTGGTATATTTTTTCCATGCGGAAAGGCAATACAATGGGTGCATGGCCCATACAGCCTAGCTGCCATAGAGTATGGCCGTATATAGAAAGAAAGCCGAAAGCCGATCGGCGCCGATCAGCGCCGATCGGCGCTTATCGGCGCCTATTGACGCTGATCCTTTTTCTATGGACCGGCGCCGATCGGCGCCGATAAGCGCCGATAAGCGCCGACACGCGCTGGTCCGAATAATAAATAATTTGTATTTGAATTATTATCCTTAGATTAAATCAATCTAAGTTATAATCTTTTTATAAATCTAATAACTTTATCTTTTATTAACTAAGCGCTTAAATTATTTGTTTCGTACTTACCGAATGGTGACAACAAGTCTTTCTTCTGGAAGGATTGGTTGTTTATGCCAATTGCCCCAATTTTTCGTCAAACGGTTTTTCACTAAATCCAAAATGTAATAAAATGTTTCTTGAATCATTCTTGTATATGTATAAAATCTTTGTTCATCAAATTTAATTTTTTTTACAAATAAATGATGGTATTCTCCGAAACGTTTCCTTTCTCTATTTATACGATGTATAGCTGATTTTCGCATTTTTAAATAAATATTTTCTAACAAAACCAAATCATCGTCCGATGAGTCCGACATTTTGCTTGATCTGCTTTAATCGGCTTCCTTTATGTAGGAAGGATCGGCGCCGATAAGCGCCGATCGGCGCCGATCGGATTTCGGCTTTCTTTCTGTATACGGCCTATGGCTGATGCTGCCTGTTACACTTTGCTGCTTACAGCGATTACACAACAGTAACCAACCCAAAGAATAGCTGCTAGCTGCTTCTAATGTATTGTTTACCAAGAGATTAAATCTTCTAACTATAAGTAGTAGTATAAGTAAGGAATAATTCTAACCGTATGAAACCGATCGCGTCACAAAGTCACAACACAACACTACACGTAAGATTAATGTAGTTCTGCCTTAAACATAATGTATGAAAAACCTATCTGACGCGTCACAACATGATAAGTATAGCCTTCACTCAAGTCGTGTGTTGATGTTTTTATGCAGTGTGTACACTGAACACAGCTATGCTGCAGAAAAACTGGAAAAAATTTATATACAAAGATCTTCCTTCGGTAAGGACAAAGTGTAGTACTTTGTCTTTACCTTTTGTTATTGTTTTAAAATACCAAATACGAATTTAAAACTTAAATTTGACAAAAGTGTGTCCTTACTCTATACAGAATGAAAAAGAGAGACTGATGTTAAATTTACTATTAAGTTTAGAGAATTACGCTACAATCGAGTGATGTGCCGAGTCGGTTATTTTTGGTATTCGGGTATTTTAGTACTCGTTAAAAAAAGATTCGAATTAGGACTCGAGTCGGAAGACTCGGACAGGTATTCGAGTGTTAGCACGAGTATTCGAATACTTTACTGGTCTCAAATATTTTTTTGAATCGGACCTTGTAATTTGCTTCATCATCTTCATCAAAAATCATATTATATGAATGTTAGGAAAATATGTTTTTTTTGTTTTTTTTTTTTTTAATAATATATCTTTATTCAAATAAGGTCATACATTGCATAATAATACTAATAACAATATAAAATACAAAATAATGGATGCCTGAACTAGGTTACAGTTAAAATTGTACCTGTATTTCAGGCTTTTATGATCTAAATAATACATAGAATATTTAATAAATTAACAAATTAATTAAAACAGAACTTAAAGTAATCATTATATAAATGTTGGTAAATGTAAATAATGGAGTTACGTTCATTTATTTACAAATAAGAAGTAATTCTTCGGTCTGCTCGTATGTCAGGCTGTGCAAATAATTAAATATTACAGTTCTACAGTTAAAATAGTTTAATGTGTAAATACCTAATACTCTATTTAACTTATTATATAAGAAAGGACTTAGGAAAGTAGAGAATCTATGTGAAAAGATGTATTTTGAATCATGTGTAGAGATGCAGACTATATCTTTCCGTCTTTTGTTAGTGATATCAGAGCAAAAAGGTGAAATGGTGTGTTGTTTTAATATGGTGTGCATAATGAAAAGCTGGCGAACAGTTAACACATTACAGTATTTGTAAAGTTGATGCGTAGGATATAAGAAGGGAAGTGAATTGGCTACTTTTAAAATGGCTCTCTGAGCTCACTCGAGGGGGATTAAAATAGTTTTGAGAGCTCCACCCCATGAAGTTATACAATATTGAATTACTGATTGGCATAAGGCCTGATATACCTGTTTTATTAGTTTTGGACCTGCAATGGTACGTAATTTTTTAAAAATATACATTAATTTACGGATCCTGACTACTAGATTTGCAATATGCTGTCTAAAAGATAATGTGTCGTTAATTAAGATACCAAGATATTTTATATGGGATGTGTTCTGTATTAAAGGGCAATCGCATTTATTGACTGAAGGATATTGGCATTGGTGTGCGTATAAGTTAGGATTTGTAAACCCATGACAAGGCTGGCGCATAGAAAAGTGAATATAATTGGTTTTGTCAGTATTCAGTGTTAGTAAATTGCAGCGAAGCCAGTTATTTACACCATTAAGACCAAGTTGAGCTACCTCATATAATTCTGACCTACTATTGGCGCTAAAAATCAAGGCCGTATCATCGGCGTAAGATATAATTTTACCATATTTTAAATTAAGGTTACATAAATCATTGATGTAAACGAGAAAAAGGGTAGGGCCGATTATACTTCCCTGGGGAATACCATAGCAGGTCATTTTCTGGTAATCACTTTTAATATTTCCTATTTTAACGCATTGAGATCGATTGTCTAAATAATCTGCAAATAGTTTTAACTGCGTTCCTCTAATACCCAATGCTTCCAACTTTTTTAGAAGCTTCGGAATTGAAACGGTATCGAACGCTTTTGCTAAATCAAGAAAAACAGCTAGAGTATGCTTTCCTTTGCCTAGTTCCTGAGTAATATAGTTAGTCAGGTTATGCACCGCATCTGCTGTTGACAACTTTGCCCGAAAACCAAATTGCGTAGGTGACAAATAGTTATTTTTTTCCAGGTAGTCAATAAGCCTTTTGTTAATAATTTTTTCTAATAGTTTTGATAAGGATGGAAGCACTGATATTGGTCTATAGTTATTTACTTGATCTTTACATCCAGATTTATAGACAGGAGTAACTACTGCTTTTTTTAAACATTGTGGAAAAATACCCTGCGAGAGGCAGATTTGAAAAATGCGTGTTAACGGTGGTATTAAAATATGCTTAAAAGTTTTGAGGATTTTATTGCTAATGTTATGAAAGCCGACTGCACTAGCCTAATATGTAAATAATAATTGATGAAATGTATAAACAGTCATTTATTGATATTATAATCATCTTTGATAATTAATAATGATGGCACGACATAATTATATGGAAACTAATAAAATTTTAAACTTATTATTACTACGTAATACCTGTATGTAGGTTAGTAGGTATACCGAAGAAGTTCTATAATATTTTAACTAAAGCTATTCAAACTTTAATAATAGCTAATTTGAAACTATATTAAATTAATCTTAAGTGAAAAGGGAATAATGTAATCTTTCTTTGTAAGAATAAATAACAATTATGTCCAAATCAAACTAATTAAAATAGGTAATTACTTATAAGAAACGAATATTTAATTAAACTTTTGTTAACATCTCATTATACTGATCGGCCGAGTCTAGTAGGAAACTTAAACACGTTCAAACCTGCACCGACTCATCAACACTTCACGTTACTAACTTCACTGAAGTTCACTGTACGAGTACAGCGACTGAGTATTCGAATACCGTAAGTACTCGAAACCTATACTCGAGTACTGTGGACCGAATACAATATTTCGAGTACTCGAATACGTGAGTACCTGCTAGGTATTCGAATCAACCTGACTCGGCACATCTGTACAATCGACATCATTATTATAAATAGTAACTACTTTATACTTTCCAATTTTTATTAGGCTAATTCATTACATGTTGACATTTTAAAGTGATTATTTAATTATGGATAATTTTTTTTTTCAATATTTAATTATTATCCCTATTAATTAAGTTAAAAAATAATGTCTATATTGGCTTTATAGTCCCAATTCCCTTTAACACTAAATGTGCGAAAAAAAAGTTGATTGAAAATGGCCGTCTAACCATCGATAGCGGCTTGCTGTCAAAATACTAAATTTCTTTTAGCGCGTTTAATAATAATTAAACTAATACAATTTCTCATGTATTATTCTACAATATCTACTGAATGAGCATCTAAAATTACTTTCAGATGTTAACTAAAATAATTAAAAAGGTCGTTTACCCCTTTGCGTATAGTGCTTCGTGTCGTGGTGACTGAGACATCACTTTCATTCATTATTCGCTGTTTACATCACGAGTCAAGATGAGTGATGAAGGTAGTGAAGATTCGGCACCACGGCCAAAACGAAAGATTAAACGGGTGGTCGTGATGTCGTCTAGTTCTGGCTCAGAGAGCGATGAGAACATAGCTGTGGCGGGGACACGTAGAAAAAGATTGAGGGTAAATATTGGAGTCTCCTAGTATTCAATCGCTCAGATTCTTGATTAGAAAACCCTAATAATTTCATAAACCGTTACAGGTGGAAAGCGATGCTGAAAGCGATAGTAGTGGCAGCTCAGTTATATGCGCGGGGACGCGGCGCAAACGCACTCTGCCCAAGCTGAGGGATTCCGAGGGCGACAGTGATACATCTGGTTGGGCAACTGACCATTCTGATGCTCCAAAACCGGCACCTACATCTGCTAATCCTGTCTCTGGCTTTGCATCAGATAGTTCAGAAGGAAATTCTGATAAATGTTCTATTTGTCTGATGCGTTTTACCAATCAAGAAGTGGGGATTCCACAAAACTGTGAACATATTTTCTGCTTGGACTGCATCACAGAGTGGTCGAAGAATGTGAACACTTGCCCAGTGGACAGAATCACATTTGACTCTATTACAGTGAGGGCTTGTGCCGGTGGTCGTGTGTTGCGTACAGAATTAGTAAAAGTTGTAGAACGCAGGCCATCTATTGAAATGTTGGTTGAAG